TAGCATTTTAACTCATGCAATGGACAAATTAAATGTCAATTATATATAATTAAAATTTAAAATAAATCATGTATGTAAATAAATATTATGTTTGAATATATATATATATATATATATAATTATATTAAAAATTAAATAAATAGATATTTTTAAATATGTAAATTATATTTTAAATTTATGATAAATAATTTATATTGTAGCATATTTTTTATTTATTAATAATTTATTTTAAAATATTAAAATTTAATGTATAAATAATCATTATAAATAAAATCCGAATTAGGTATGAAATTAAAAAAAAAATCCTAGAATCCCTTTCATCAAAGAAAATTTCTTAAAAATATTCTGATACAAAATATTTATTTGTATTATATATAGAGAGGTTGATTTTTAAAAAAATTAATTAATAATAAAAATTAATATTAGAAAAAGTTAAAAGAGAACTCCAACTAATGTGCAATTATAGTTAAAATATCTTAATAACTTTATGCATTTTTTAATAAAAATGTAATAATTTATTTTTAAAAATAAATTATGTATTCAAGTTTAATTCTCATGTTAAAATAATATTTAATTAACGAAAGTAATATTTTATAAGTATAAATTAATTTATTATTATCAATTTTAGTGCACCGTCAACCATGTTCATAAAAAAATAATAATTCCCGCTTAAAATTTAGCAAAAGTGCTAATGTGTACGATAATTACCATGCCCTAGTTGCCAAGTTGGTTAGCTTTTTGAAGATAATTTGAGGTGGCTAGCACTTGCTTTATTGACTTTTAGCTATGCTTTGTCTACAACTCCCCACTAAAATGGAAGGTGCAGTGCGTAACCGGCAACCACATGTATAGGTGATTTGGTTATCTACGAGTACCCGTTAAATTGGATTCTATAGCGTATTACTTGTTTGGAGGACTGGTTTTCATGTTTTAAGAAATTTAAATAATGCTACATATACAGCAAATACGCCGGATATATCCGGTTAAAGAAATCGTTACCGGTTAATTGTATAAATCAAGTATATTGGTAAGAATAAACAAAAAAAAAATGTAGAAACGAAAAACCTTAATAAAAACAAACGCAAAATAAAAAAAATGTAAAAGTAAAATGAAAAAATTGAGAGAAGAAAACATAATAAATTTATGTGCTTTAACCAATTTAGCCTACATGCACGAGAGAGAGCAAAATTTATTATCTAAACAAAATAATCTTTAGCTACTTTTTAGAAATTCCTTGATCTCTCTAATCGATTCTCCTTTTCTCTTTATTTATCTTTTTTCCAACTCTCCGTAATCACACTTAGTACTTTGCTCTCACGTTTTGTTCCTCTATGTCACATTTAGAAAGGATCTCCAAACACATGCATGCATACATACATATATATATACATATATATATATATATATACACTAAGACTAAGTCTTATAAAATATGACAAACTTAAGCCATCAAACTAATGAAAGACAAACTATGTATAGTCTAAATCCATTAGATGAATGGAAACAAACTGAAAGTATAGTTTGAACCCATTAGATGAATGGAGATAGACTAAACCTATAAGATTGTACCAACAAAAGACTTTATAGAGCATATACATGATAATTAGATTTTGAGTTATAATCAACAATTCTCCACCTTGACTCTAAATTTATAGAAAAGAACCCTTTCACAACAATATCACTCTGCCACTTCAAAATGAACATCAAACAAAGTTGATCAAGTCCAATCAAGTCCAAGCAATGCTTGAACTTGGATGTAGAAAGAGATTTTGTAAACACAATTGTCTTTAGATGCAATCTTCTCAATTTGAATTTCTCCGGATTCAACCATATCTCTAATAAAGTGAAGCCTTATATCAATGTGTTTCGTCCCCTCATGATAAACTTGAGGATTTGCAAGGTGTATGTGACACCCCTACCCCACATACATAATACACAATAAATAAATATAAAGTACATTCTTGAGTAAATAAAACTTTCTTAAAAATAAGGTTTCAAAACACACAAATAGAAAGTTCACATTCATATTTCGCAAATTGTAGTCCAATATGGAAATAAAATATCAATCTTTCCAAAATACAATAACAGTAATGAAACTCCTATGTTAAACCAAGCTAAGCCCCGATGTCACATATCCTATCAAAGCATGCACAACTGAAGCCTAAGCCTCATCACCAACATCCTCATGCTGATGATCACCTGCAACACAATTTAAACACATACAAAGAACAAGGGAGTGAGAAACATCTCACTCAGGTTCAAGTGCAGGAATAAAGGTTAGATAGCACACACACACACACAACAAACATAATTCACAAGTACAAATCACATGTAAACAATACGCATACACAATCAATATCACTTGCACACTCATTTATCATGTAATGATGTCATGGACTCGACTCATAAATGCATGCATGTGGCGCCATACGAAAGTTTCAAATTTTTCATCACTAGTGACCCAAGGTACACCAAGAATAGCTTGTTACATCACTGGTATGCGGCCTAAGCGGCACACCTAGAATAAGTCATTTCATCATATTGCCTGTTACATCACTGGCATGCGACCCAAGCAACACACCTGGCGTAAATCATTTCATCACATTGCCTGTTACATCACTGGTATGCGGCCTAAGCAGCACACCTGGCATAAGTCATATATGCATATGATGCATGTCTCACATTCTTAATTACATTGACTCAACACTTCACATTTCACTTTACATTTCACATCTTATCATATCTCATGTCATAATATGTCACAATGTCATATCACAGATCATATGTTCACCTTTCACATTCTCACATCATATTCCCATAGTCTCATGAAGAAACTTCTCATCATCATATACATCAAAATAATACATAAATTATACCAAGAACTTATCTAAAACATGAAGTTATCATCAACATTACATATAATGCCTCAAATCATTCATAGATCATATTCCTAATTTTACTTCATAGGGTTTCCCAAAAGAACCCACAGAGCACTCTAATTCATATCAAAACTTATTTGTTTTCAAAATTAATCACACATTCATACATCTCATTCAACAAGGAATACAACAGAAGAATCAAGAATCAAAATAGAAAACGTTCATATTTTGCTTGTTTCTCACAGGGTTCTCTCAAGAACCCACAGAGCACTCTAATTCATATTAAAAATTATCTAATTTTGAAATCAAATACATATTCATACATTACATCCAACAAGAAGCCCAACAGAACAATCAGAAGGCAAAACAGAAAATGTTCATATTTTGCCTATTCCTAAAAACATGCATCAAGCAAGGGATTGGAGGCCAATCCTACTATCCAACAATTATTCCCACACCCCCGAGCGAGGTTTCTCACTCTCCCCTTACATGGATGAGCAGAAGACAAAGCTAGAGTGAAATCTGGTCGATCTCCTTCTCTTTGTTCTCCTTGGTCTCCAGAGAGTTTGTCCAGAAATAGTGTCAGAGTGCTCTATTTATAGATTTCAGGAGTGGCCAGAACAGCCCGTTTCGAATCTAGAACGGCCCGTTCTGGATCCTTTCATCGTGTGTTAAATTCTCATATGGAACGGCCCTTTCTAAAACCAGAACGGCTCGCTCTAAAGTTGCACTTTAACTCACAATGGCCATGTTTGGAACGTCCCTTTCTAAAACCAGAACGACCCATTCTCAACTAGGGTTACAAGCCTTTTCGGTGGTTTGGAACGCCCCGTTCCCATCTAGAATTTGTAGGCCACTTTAGTAGCTTGGAACGGCTCGTTCCAATTTGGGAACGGCCCGTTCTGGGCTAATAAATCACGCTTGTTTTAGTAGTTTGGAACGGCTCGTTCCAGTTTGGGAACAGCCCGTTCTGGGCTACTAAGTCACACTCAAAATTACTAAATTACCCTCATAATAAAAAAAACTTGAAAACTGGGGTGTTACAATTCTCTCCTCCTTTTAGAAATTTCGTCCCTGAAATTTACCGAAAACCTGAATGGATGAACTTTATCTCTACTTCCAAATAACACTTTCATAAACATTTCTCATCACGCTTCCGTTGTGCCACTTTGATACATCTTAGTAGTTCTTAAATGAATGTTAAGAGTACTCTTATGTCCTTTCTCTAAGATCATTTTCCTAAATCCAGGATTACTAAGCACCCAAATTTTGTTCTTACACCTCAAAACAACATCGATTCCTACTCAAAAAAGGTTATCTATACTCCTACCAATCTTCTCCACTTGGTTCACTAAGAAAGGATCTGACTCCTGGGCTTTTCTAATCTCATTCGTTAATTCACTAGTCACTTTCAACATACTCGATTCAATGCTCCTAAGGGTAATCTCACACATCAAGCTTAAGTCTCTAAACTCTTCAATCAAATCCAACCTTTAAATCATAAAAATGATAGATGAATGGTCATCCTAATCAAGGCATCTACTACAATATTAGCTTTACTTCTATGACCCTCTCCAAAGATTAAGCACCTAAGCGTAAGTTCACTAGGTACATATACTCGATCTCCAAGTCTTACCACTTCATCTATACCCAAGGCAAACTCTTATCCACCACCTTGTCTTATAGCCTCATGTCTTGTTACCAAAATGAATCAACTAATTATGCTTCTTCAATTTCCTTCAGCAATCCACTCGTTACTCGAGTCATACCTAGTCTCACACTACTAAGGGTAACCTCATAAGCCAAACTTAAATCCTTAAACCGAGCCAAAAGATCTATCTCTCTAACCATAAGGAAAGATAAATGTAGAGGTTTCCTACTAAAAACATCCACTAATTGATCCATAAGGTCATCTATCCTCATATCAACATACATGCATATCAAATCATATTAGAATACCTTCTTCACTCCTTTGGTCAAAAGATATTTAAGGCTCTTATGATCACTAAATACCTCAAGCTTAGAACCATACAGGTAGTGTCTCCAAATCTTAGTGTAAATATCATAACTACTAACTCAAGGTCATGGGTAAGGTAATTCCTCTCATGAATTTTCCATTGCCTAGAAACATAAACTACTAGCTTTCCTTCTTGCATCAACAATCCACCCAAACCTATCATAGAAGCACCACTATATACCACAAAAGGCTTACTAAATCTAGTAGTATTAACACTAATCAATCTTTCCTTAAGAGTTTGGAAACTACTCTCACACTTACTATCCCACACAAAGACAACACTCTCCCTAGTCGACCTTATCAAAAGTAATGCTATCTTAGAAATTTACTAAATAAATCTTTAATAATTATGAGCTAACCCAACGAAATCCTAACCTCACTAATTGATCCCTAAGGTCATCTATCCACATATCAACATACATGCATATCAAATCATAATATAAACAAGATACAGGCAAATCCAACTTTTGGACACAAGAGACAGAAATAAAGGAATGAGTTGAACCAGAATCAAACAATACAATAAAAGGAGTCTCAGCTATGAAACAAGCACCTTGTATCAGACTTTCTGAGCGAGCAGCTTCAGCACCACTAAGAGCAAATACTCTCCCTATAGCCTTTGGACGCTCAGCTTGCGAACCCGATCCAGTAGCACGTGGTTTTGGCCGTTTAGGACAGTGGGTGCTAATGTGACCCTTACCATTGCAGTTGAAGCAAGTAACCTCCTTGTCACGACACTGAAATTGATTATGACCAGCACGTCCACACTTCCAGCATTTTCCTGAAGGAGTTGACATAGACCCTACAACACTTCCAGTAGCCCTAACAATGGATCCTCTAGTAAATGACTTGCTTTCACTAGCAGCAGCTTTACTCCCTTGGGATCTAGCAGGAGCAAAGTAAGGCTTACTCCTAATCGAAGCATCAGAACTTACAGCACGCATAGGACCTTCAGCTCCCTTGTAGAAAGCAGCACGGGCATGGTTGTCACGGTCAAAGATGCGACACTTGTTCACTAAGGTTGGAAAATGATATCTCCTGATAATTGATCGCTATCTTCACTTCGGGACGTAATCCATTCACAAACTTAATGCCTTTAGCACGTTCACCACCCTCACCATGATAGTGGGAGCAGTAACGAACCAATGAGTCAAACTTGGCAGCATACTCTGCTATTGTGTTATTCCCTTGCTTTAGTTCAAGGAACTCCACTTCCTTCTGACTCCTCACATCATCCGGGAAATACTTCTCAAGGAAGACCCTCTTGAAGTTGTCCTAGTTCAAGTGCACCCCTCCATCAATCATCCTCTAAAGTACTCCTTCCCACCAAAAGTTGGCATCAGCAGTCAACATGAAGGTGGCCAACCTCACCTTCTGAGCGAGGGGACACTCTATGACATTGAAGATCTTCTCAATCTCCGTTAGCCAATTCATTGCAGCATCTAGGTCATATCCTCCTTTGAAGGTAGGTGGATGATTTCGCTTAACAAAAGGAATAGATAGTAAAGAAAGATACCTCTTAAAACGAGCTTTTATAGATATTTTCAATGTAGTAAATTTGAGGTGCTTTTTGGCTACCTTTTACACTTCAAAATACCTCACAAATCTCAATAAATACAAAAAAGGGTCTAGATTCTAAAGGGACTTTCAGATGCTAAATTTTTGGCCCTTAGAGCCTTCTATTTATAGGCACGGAAATCCACCAGAACGGACCATTTTAAATTTGGAACAGGCCGTTCTGGACTTTTCTATTATGTGCAAATTTTGAAATTGGAACGACCCGTTCCATATTTGAATTTTGCATGTAATAGACTAGGTCAAAATAGGACGTTCTAACCTAGGGTTACAGGCTTCTTTCTAAGCTAAGAACAGTCGGTTCCGAGCTACTAATTCTAGCACTCTGTGTTTTGGATCTTTGGATGTCATGTTAGCCTACTATAGTGTTGCTTTCGAGCCTTCAGAAACTTCTTCTTCATGTTGAAGTCCATTTCTTTGTTTTTGTGCCACCGGACAAAATTAGGTGTCTATAGTGAGCACATCTAACTTAAAATCCCTTCAAAAGTTGTTAAAAAAGTAACCTTGGAGATGATGATCTGTTCGCTTAAAGTGAGTAGGATCCTCATACAGAGTGAGTGAAATTTGCTCAAAGCTACCACAAAAATGCTCTAAGCGAGTAAAGTTAGAGAGAAAACCTAGATAAATATATCAGCTAATTACTTAGAGTGAGCTACTTAGATGCTCTAAGTGAGTAAAATTCACTCAAAACACTATCACAAGAGGCTTAGAGTGAGCTATATGGGTGCTCTAAGTGAGCACATCTGACTTAAAAGCCCATAAAAAATTGTTAAAAAAAAGTAGGGTCTCTAAGAAGTCTTTGTATCCATCAATACTTTTTTAGCATAATTCTATAGAGATTAGAAAAAGTTCTTGTAAGGTTACTCTTGTAATTATGAATCGTTCAAAGGTCTCTTTCTATTGTGTAATTTTTAGCCATGAATGGTTAAGTCTCTACTATTGAGAATTAAGGTAACTACTAGAACTATTTAATTTTCTTTGTATTTTTCATTTAATAAAGTCTTTATTCAGTTAATCATTCTATTCTTAGAATTAATTCTTGTTGTAGTCTAATCAATCTCTACATGATTTTATAATTTTTAATTGAGGTCATTTGAAATTATTTTAGAGTTATTAAAATTAATTATCTCCCTTCTCACTTCATTAAGGGTAATTTTAACATTCAAGAAAAATAATAATTTGAAAAGAGAAGTTATGAAAGTTAGAGTTAGAGGATCCTACTCACTTTAAGCGAACAGATCATCATCTCCAAGGTTACTTTTTTAACAACTTTTGAAGGGATTTTAAGTTAGATGTGCTCACTATAGACACCTAATTTTGTCCGGTGGCACAAAAACAAAGAAATGGACTTCAACATGAAGAAGAAGTTTCTGAAGGCTCGAAAGCAACACTATAGTAGGCTAACATGACATCCAAAGATCCAAAACACAGAGTGCTAGAATTAGTAGCTCGGAACCGACTGTTCTTAGCTTAGAAAGAAGCCCGTAACCCTAGGTTAGAACGTCCTATTTTGACCTAGTCTATTACATGCAAAATTCAAATATGGAACGGGTCGTTCCAATTTCAAAATTTGCACATAATAGAAAAGTCCAGAACGACCTGTTCCAAATTTAAAATGGTCCGTTCTGGTGGATTTCCGTGCCTATAAATAGAAGGCTCTAAGGGCCAAAAATTTAGCCTCTGAAAGTCCCTTTAGAATCTAGACCCTTTTTTGTATTTATTGAGATTTGTGAGGTATTTTGAAGTGTAAAAGGTAGCCAAAAAGCACCTCAAATTTACTACATTGAAAATATCTATAAAAGCTCGTTTTAAGAGGTATCTTTCTTTACTATCTATTCCTTTTGTTATAAATAAAAGCAATCATGTAAACGTTTTAGGGAAAATTGTGTAAATAAGTAAATAATTATTAATAAAAAAGAAACTTAATATTTATGATGGAGCCTCAAAGTGCCACAACTCCATTGAATTCAAACTCCTCTGTGTGGACCTTGAGAAGATTCAAGGAAGATTTACGGATTGAAATGGAGGAGCACCTTTTTGAAAATTGGGGTGTTACACACCTGACATAAGTCATTTCATCACATTGCCTGTTACATCACTGGTATGCGGCCTAAGCAGCACACTTGACATAAGTCATTTCATCACATTACTTGTTACATCACTGGTATGCGGCCTACGCAACACACCTGGCATAAGTCATATATGCATATGATGCATGTCTCACATTCACAATTACACTGACTCAACACACATTTCACTTCACATTTCACATCTTATCATATCTCATGTCAGATTATGTCACAATGTCATATCACAGATCATATGTTCACCTTTCACATTCTCACATCATATTCCCATAGTCTCATGAAGAAACTTTTCGTCATCATATACATCAAAATAATACATAAATCATATCAAGAACTTATCTAAAACATGAAGCTATATATCATCAACATTACATATAATGCCTCAAATCATTCATAGATGATATTCCTAATTTTACTTCATAGGGTTTCCCAAAAGAATCCATAGAGCACTCTAATTCATATCAAAACTTATCTTTTTTCAAAATTAATCACATATTCATAAATCTCATTCAACAAGGAATACAACAGAAAAATCAAGAATCAAAATAGAAAACGTTCATATTTTTCTTGTTTCTCACAAGGTTCTCTCAAGAACCCACAGAGCACTCTAATTCATATTAAAACTTATCTAATTTTGAAATCAAATACATATTCATACATTACATCCAACAAGAATCCCAACAGAATAATCAGAAGGCAAAATAGAAAACGTTCATATTTTTCCTGTTCCTAGAAACATGCATCATGCAAGGGATTGGAGGCCAATCCTACTACCCAACAATTATTCCCACACCCCCGAGCGAGGTTTCTCACTCGCCCCTTACCTGGATGAGCAGAAGACAAAGCTAGAGCAAAATCTAGTCGATCTCCTTCTCTTGGTTCTCCTTAGTCTCCAGAGAGTTTGTCCAGAAACAGTGCCCGAGTGCTCTATTTATAGATTTCAAGAGTGTCCAGAACGACCCGTTTCGAATCCAGAACGACCCGTTTTGGATCCTTTCATCGTGTGTTAATTTTTCATATGGAACAGCCCGTTCTAAAACCAGAACGGCCCGTTCTAAAGTTGCACTTTAACTCACAACGGCCATGTTTGGAACGTCACATTCTAAAACCAAAACGACCCGTTCTCAACTAGGGTTACAAGCCTTTTGGGTAGTTTGGAACACCCCGTTCCCATCTAGAATTTGTAGGCCACTTTAGTAGCTTGGAACTGCCCGTTCTAATTTGGGAATGACCTGTTCTAGGCTACTAAATCACGCTTGTTTTAGTAGTTTGGAACGACTCGTTCCAATTTGGGAACGGTCCGTTCTGGGCTACTAAGTCACACTCAAAATTACTAAATTACCCTCATAAAAAAACATGAAAACTGGGGTGTTACAGTGTATAACACTTTAGTTATCACAGTGAACTGTCACACAATTTTGTTATATACCCAATTCCCCAATCATCCTTTTAACCATATAGCTTCCTTCACCCCTACAATAAAAGCAATATATTTTTCTTATTGTGCTTGTGTTATAGACAAAGCTACCATATATTGTAAATGTGATTTCCAACTAACAATAGTCCCAAACAAAGTGAACACGTACCCAGATAACGATTTCATGGTATAGTCAACATCAACATGCCCCATAATAGTTTTTCCATATCAAATTATCTTCTTATATTATACCTTAAACCAAATTTTTGAGAACCATTCAAATACCTCAGTACCCATTTCAAAGCCTCCTAGTGAGCTTGACCCAGATTTTCCATAAATCAACTCACAATACTGAAAACACAGGTCAAATCAAGTTTGCTACAAACCATGCCATACATGATACTCCCTTCTCCACTTGCATATGGAATATAACCCATCTTCCTCCTTTCCCCTTCACTACTAGGGGCTTGTGTGATAAAGAACTTTGTGTGATGACCCAAAAGAAGGGTTTTAATTTTACACCTCCAACATGTAATTTAACACTTTCTCTTTCTTTTCCACACACCACTTTCCCTCATCTTTTCAATTTTCACATGCACCTCCTTGTATTCACTCCATTTTCCACCTACTTTAGTAGGTAGTTTTAATTCTTTCAATTTTTACATTACTTTTCTCCCTTCCCTTTTCAATTTTCAACCTATTACCCTTTCTTTCTCCTCTTTTAGTTTTCACACATATCCAAGACATAAAACTAGTATCCGACAATGTTATAGGCACGTGTAACTTCCTTAACAATTCAAAAATGTCAAGTCAAATGTGTGCTTTTTCTTCGAGCAGTTCTCCCTTTTTACATGTCTAGAAAATACAACATTAAAGTCAGTGTTCCAAATAATTTTAGTGTTTTGAATTAGTGAAATTAGTGTTTCGAAAAGTATTTTCTAGAATTATATTTTTAACATACTTTTTGAAAGTACTTTCTAAAACATTAAATTTATTGTTTTGAGAAGAACTTTTGAGAATATATGTAAACTATCACACTTTTGGAAAAATACTTTTCCAAATGCTAATTTTACTATTTCGAAAAGTACTTTCTAAAATACTAATTTTAGTATTTCGGAAAGTACTTTTTGGAAGTGTGTCATTTAACATAATTCCATAAAGTTCGTTTTGAAACATTAAATTTAATGTTCTAAAAAATACTTTTCAGAAGTATATAAAAAGCACAATTCTAGAAAATACTTTCTTGAACACTAATTTCACTATTCTGAAAAGTATTTTTTGAAATATTAAAATTAATGTTTTTGAAAATTATTTTTTGAAACACTAAATTTAATGTTGAGGTTTCTAAAAGTGTG